CATGCCACAGTATATAAACAGAGAGCAAACCCCATTCCATTCTAGCACTGAAGATGTTTCCTAGCCGGGTAACGAAACGTTTTCTCACTGAAAATATACTGTATTTTATATCTCATTTGACAGAGTAGAAGCAATTGTTACACACTTTTTGGAGATCCTGTTATGTAGGCCAGTGATAAAAGCATTGCAGCAGATGTTACATTATATCATGCCCCCACATATAGGCTTTTACATTATTTTCACATAAATCCTGGGAGGGGGGGATTTCTCTATGTTTGTCTATTTTTACACAATGCTTATGCTAGATGGTGTTTTCAGTTACACTGAGCACCAGGAGTTTAGGTGACCAGTTTCATCTTTGAAACCATGATCAGTTTTATCCTATTTTGAGCTTGTCAAACATAAGTAACCAGATGCTATTCTATGGGATATACAAACAGTGCTTGATTTATGACCATTCGTTTAATAGCCGTTCAAAGTTACGATGGTGCTGAAAAAAGTGACTTACGACCAGTCGTTGCACTTACAACTATCGCAGCATCCCTGCAGTCACACAATTAAAATTTGGACACTTGGCAACCAGCATGTCTTTATGGTGGTTGCAGTATCCCAGGGTCACATGATCACCATTTGTGACCTTCCCAGGTGGCTTCTGACAAGCAAAGTCAATGTGGGAATCCGACCATCTGATTCGCTTAAAAGGTCATAAAATTGGGTGTGACTCACTTAACAACCACATCGCTTAGTGACAGAGGTTCTGGTCCCAGTTATGGTCGTAAGTCAAGGACTACCTCTATAACATATACACTGTATAAAAATAGAGAATGTGAACCTGAAGGTTAATTATTATGTGATAAGAACAGTAAATTATGAAAGTAAAACATGTGTGAGAACAAATGGAATGCTTAGCAAGTAGTTCAAAACTGACCAGGGAATAAAACAAGGATGTGTAATGTCCTCTTGGTTCTTTAATATTTACAGTATAGATAAATAAAGAATACTTATGATGATGTTAGAGATGTTTTTGTTGGAGACATGAAAATGCGTATACTTTGCATGTAGATGATGCCTTGTTTTTAGCTGATATGCAATGAATGTTAGAAAGATTGCATAACACAACAAGTTTAGACTTGAATAATGTATTGAGAACTGAGGTACAGCAGTTGAGTTTGACAAGTGAAATGGAATGAACAAGTGCAAGTTACACCGAAATGGAAGAAAATTAGCATAGGTGGCAGAATTTGTGTACTTAGTATAATGCTTACTAAAGATGGAAAAACAAGTATGCATTTTAAGGTGTGCACTGCTGGTAATGGGTAGCATATAGTCTGTTGTGAGGAATGAATACTTGCTAAAAGAAGCAAACATGGATGGTTATATGTAAGAGCATGCTTCTGTCCACTGTGTAATATGGAGATAAGAATTGGAGATGTCAGGAGAAACATAAACACTTAATGCAGTAGAAATGGGTTACCAAGAAATGTGTGTTGTAGAACAAGAAGTGATAGGGTCATAAATAAATGGATAAGACACAAATGTGTATTGACAAGCACACTGAGTTGGTTTGGTTATATTTCTCAATTTTTCAAACGCTCATTTAAAAACTAGAAACCAAATAAGATACAATGATCATATATGCTGAAATATAGTGTACTGTGCTAGTCAGCTTCTATATTACCTATCATATATCTTGGCAATACGTAATTCTCCTCTTCCCTTCCGCAAACTAATCCTTGTTGTAGAAGCATGAGCAAGGATATGACCTCCAATGGGTTTCTTGGGGTCAGCCTGAAAGCTACATCGAATAAAAACAAGTAGTTATATCCAAAGTGGGGAATATGGGTCCAAATTACTGAAAATCTTGAAAAATAAGCCACGGTAAACTATACATCAATATTAAAAAGTCAGTCTTTTAATTATCATATGTATATGTACGTATATATGTGTTTGTGTATCCTTCCTAGCGTTTTTCCCACATGTGCAGGGTCTGTTTTTCTTCCGGATCAACTGATTGTTGATCCATTGGTTGCAACAGGAATTGACCAACCTGATGTTGGGGTCTGAGAGAGAGTGACTGGCCCAAAGTCACCCAGCCAACTTTCATGCCTAAGGCAGGACTAGAACTCACAGACTTCTGGTTTCTAGCCTGGAGCCTTAACCACTAGACCAAACTCTCTCTTTCTCTCCCTCCCTCCCTCCCAATCAGTGTTGACTCCTGGTAACAGCTTGGACAAGTCCCTGCAGTTTGGTGCCTTAACCACTAGACCAAACTGGCGCTCTCTCTCTCTCTCTCTCTCCACATATTAATGATCATTGGCTTTATTGATGTTGGACAAAGAAGGGCATAGACATAAATAATAAAATAATAACCAATCACTCTTCAGTTTAACAATAGCCCAAAACTCCATCTGAATACAAATGAGAATGTTTACAACAGAGCTAATGCTTGAGAAAAGGAAAGGAGAATGGAGGAGTTCTTGACTCAACACTCATTCCTATTTCTGAAACTACAGTTGACTGACCCATCAGCTACTATGTTTATGCAGGGAGCCAGGAACACATCATTTGCAAGCAAGCTTTAGTAGCAAGCCTTGCTCTGAACTCTGTATAATGTGCAATAGGAAAAGGAGATAGGGGTTTCAGTCCCTCTCAGGATCATTGAAAACGAGTCCCAATTGGTACCAATCTGAGAATCCCCTAACTCCACTCCAAAAGCAAATACTAGTTTCAAGAGAAGTATTTTTCTTCAGATCAGGCAGCAGAAGAAGCAGTTATGTTTCTTCTTTGTGCCCAATTTGGCTCAGAAACTTTCAGCTCATTTTCCAGATACTTTTTTAAAATATGCATTTTAAATGTAAAGACACATTTAAATAACATATCTAGTTTGGACCTTTCATTCATTTTTCCTATCTGAACTGACATTCATGTGAACTATTTCCCTAGAATACCTTATAAGTGTAGTTCAAAATGAAATTGTGTCTTCTTTGGATCTCTAGGCTATCTTTTTCTGTGGTTTAAGAATATAATTTAAGAAATCCTATTTCTGTGATTTAAGAATATCATAAGGAAATATTATTAATAATAATTTGCTTACGTCATAGTTGCTCCTGGATCAGAGGTCATTTGGTTAGTCACAAACACAGCTACATTATATTCTGCAGTAAAAAAGATAGGCCAAAGGATGGGATAGACATAAAGGGAGAAAAATTACTCTGTTAGTATTCTTTCCACAATTTTTTGTTAAAGCACTTCTAATAAACTATGCCTATAAAAGTCTCCACAATATTGAAAAATCCTGAAGATCAGTTTTAATAACTCTAACAGACTAATAAAACAGTATTATGGAAAATGTTCTAACTCTCAGATGTATAGACATCAACTCCCAAAATTGCCCATTGCTGAGAATTCTGGGAGTTGAAATATACACATCTGGAAGTTGTCAAGGTTGGGAAATACTAACGAAAAGAACAGCAGTATCAATTTAAAATCCAGATTATTAAAACCAACTTAAAATTAAAAGGCATTGTAGAAGTCTAATTAAAAGCCAGGTGTCCTTGTGTGGAGTCCCAATTAGCAGGGGGTATTACTAAAAAGACTTTATCTCTTATGTCTGCCAATCTCATTGGGATTTTCAAAAGAGATAACAGATTACATAAAATCATGTGTTTAAGCTAAACAAGTTTTGTTTTTACTTTATCTGGGAAATATTTCTCCCACCTTCTGATATTTTCTGAAGTCTTGAGAGCATCTGAGCAAGTTTCTGTTGCCTTTCAGCTAATTCCCCACGACCACTGAAATCCACACGAAACAGTGCCATAATGGAATCTATTATCTGTATATTAAATGTCAAAAATGCAATATTTGTTCACAAGAAGAAATTACTTAAAAAAATTAAAGTACTAATTAAAGGAATTGGAGCATATAATAAACAGGATTATAAAATGTATACCAGTAGTTTAAAGATGCCAGGTTCCTCATGGAATTTGCCAGCAACATAATCAAGTAATTCCATCTGATGCTCACCTTCCAAGGAGAAAATGTAATAAAATAATAGTAATAATATTACTAATAATAATAATGTTATTTTAAAAAAAAGTAGAAAAAGAGTTGCTAGACCAACATGTACAGTAACTGAGTTCCTGTCATAACTCACATAACTAAATCTTTAATATATTTTGAAGTATTTAGCTCACTATTTTTAAAACTTCACTTTAAAATAATTCCAAAAGAAGCTAAATATTTCATAAATACTTGAAATCCTCTCTTGAAAATTCTGCAACACACGATAATTAATATTCATTTCTAGCTGAGAAATCACATAAAATTTTTAAATAGGTTTCTATATTTAATTTTATTATTGCCTATAATCCTGCAGTATTTCCACATAGAAGTTATGTGTAATATCATGTTCAGACATTTGATGTGACTTTCCTAATTTACTTATTTGTTTATTTAATAAGACTAATCTACTTTGTAACAATCTTGTAAAAATATGGTCTTCGCACAGTAACTTAGAAAATTTGTTTATTTAATAAGACTAATCTACTTTGTAACAATCTTGTAAAAATATAGTATTCTCACAGTAACTTAGACAATTCAGATTAAACCGTTAAAAGAGTTTTTATATAGAATATTAGAAAAAGAAACCAACATTATCTTTATAATGTGAATTTCCTTAAGAAAACTGTCTCTCGTGTGTTATAAACAAAACCCACAATACAGAACTCATATAGTGATATGGTTTCAAGAGAAGGCAGCATAACTATTTCTTTGGGGACAAGGAATAAACTGATAATATGTTCAGATGTTGGGAAGCTTTATAACCCAAACGTATGTAAAAAAATCCTGTTGGAAATTATTTTAAGTAACACTATTTGAAATTTTTAGTAAAAAAAAGCTCTGAGTATATTCAAAACAGAAAACACAAACTGAAAAGTAAACATAATTCAAATTATGACCCTTTGATGCATAATAGTTCATTCTTAAAGTGAGCAGGATTCCTGCCATCTTGTTGCAATCTTACTAGTATAAGCCCGTGCATACAATACATTGTCAAGAACTGCATCATGGTCTGCATTGAAGCGATCAGCAATGTCACGAAGGCGGTCTGGACGACTGGCGTGTTTCTTAGTTAAGGTATCTCATTTTTAATTCAGTTTCTCAGATATAGATATAGCTCAAGCCCATTCATAAAAGCAAATATCCCCTCAAAACTGAGCACTTCCAGATGCTAATTTTCCATGCTTTTTAGGAACTATGCTCTGTTGATTGCACAATGTTACCTGCAAACCAGTCTTGATGCAATGCAAATTTCCAAAACTTATTACAACACCTAAAAATCTATTTGCATTTTTTCTACCTCACTTGAGAGACAAATTAAATTCATGTTTCATTAAATTCATCCTGTGATTATGGGCATTTGTTTTCCCATTTCAGTGACTTCCTGCCATATATCTTACCTCTCAGCTCCTAGCATATGTTTCATCCAGCCTAGCTTCAGAATGATTGGCATCAAGACGGTGTTCTCTGTGAGTTCCAGACTGACAAACATATTGACAAACCTCATAGTAAAAGTGCTTGTGACTTGCAGATTGTGAGGACAATGTGTAGAATCCAAGTAGGTATTAAAATACATTGCAAATGAATGGCATATGGAAGACCATCTCCACTGCATTTCATGTGGTAAAGTTGTTTAATTAGCTTTCACCTTCTCTTCTCTGTATATTAAGTGTCTCTTCTGCTTATACTGTACCATAAACTCAAATTTAAAATGTATTATTAATACTGTACAGGAAATCCTTTCACCCCATTCAATTAAAGTGATATACTCAGAAGGATACAATGTGTTTTCTGTATCAATAAAAATAATTTTCCCACCTGTATATCCATCTGCTCCTGGAAGTTGGGCTGTCACTAAAATGAGTAATAAAAAATAAACAAATCAACCAGAGTGACAATCTTAACTACTTTGCCACCTGACAATAAATTATTTTCCTTTGTTGGCAAATGTCAAAAGAGATTATCATAGGCACAAAGCAATCCTGTGGTCCTTTGGGCAGCATTTCAGCTGTGTAGAAATTGTCAGTTTTCATAAGTTTCCAAAGTCAAGGGGTTACTCTCAAAACAATGAATCTTGCATAAATTCCCCCTTTTCTATGGGTCTCTGAGTCAAAAGCTCCATACTATTATGTTAAGTAGGTGAGTGAACAACAAAATGAAAGGGTTGAACTTAGTCTAAAATCATTTTAGAAGTGGCATTTTCTAGGGTATATGGGCAATAATGGTGGTAAGGCTGCTATATACTGTAGATTTGTTTTCATTATTGTATTTTGTATTGGCTGTAAATTTGTATATTTGTATTTTCTTCTTTGTATGTTGTAAACTGCCTTATGTCCTGTACAAAAACAGTGGTACCTCTACTTACGAACTTAATCCGTTCCGTGACTCTGATCACAAGTCGAGTTGGTCACAAGTCGAAGTAAATTTTCCCGTAAGGTTCAATGTAATTACCGTTAATCCGTTCCGGCGTCCGCGGACCATGCTTCAGGGGCGGAAAAACGGCCGCTGACCATGCAGCAGGGCGGAAAAACGGCCGTGGACCATGTGGAACGGGCGGAAAATGGCCGTGGACCACGTGGAACGGGCGGAAAAATGGCCGCAGACCACATGGAATGGGTGGAAAATGGCTCGTAAGTTGAGGCGAGTTCGTAAGTAGAGGTAAATTTTTGGAGCCAGAGCTG